GGGTGAATTGTATGGTATGTAAGTGATATCTGAAAAGAGCTGTTATTTTTATTTTTATTTTTTAGAGTTTATTTATTTTGAGAGAGAGAGATGGAGAGAGCAAGCAGGGAAATGGGGGGAGGGGGAAGGACAGAGAGAATCCTAAGCAGGTTCCATGCCGTCATCACAACCGATGCAGGGCTGGACCTTGTGAACCACGAGCTTGGACCTGAACTGAAACCAAGAGCCGGACACTTAACTGACTGAGCCACCCAGGCACCCCCAGAGCTGTTATTTCTAAAAATCACTAGGGATAAAGGAGGAGTAGTCATTTGTCAGGCAAAGAAGGGCAGAACACACTCATGGACAATGCAGTGTACAAAGACCCAGGGCTACACAACAGCCTGGGTCTTGTGAGCGGGCTGGATCTGAGAGGGCTGTGTGGTCCTGGGTGGGTCCAGTGTAGCCCAGTGGAGGGCGGGAGACGTGCCTTCTGTTCCTTGCTGAGACGTGAAGGCTGTTATAATTTAGGAAATTGACATCCTGAGAGGACCCGAGCAGGGGAGTAATGACACTTTTAAGTTCCACATTACAATTTTGTGTTGAATTTTGTTCCTGTTATTTGTGTACTATCAATGATGGCCTTTCAACTCAAATGAACACATTTGTTTCCGTAAATATAGTAAATGTGTTATGAATAGGATCCCTGTATGTGTCTTCTAAACACTTCTTAATCATTCTGTTAAATTTGGTCACTTTAATGTTCAGGATGTGTGTGTAATTGGGCCAAATAAAATTAATAATTTGTAAAAAACTTTTTAAGTTTAGTTATTTATTTTTGAGAAAGACAGTGTGAACGGGGGAGAGGCAGAGAGAGGGAGAGAGAGAGAATTCCAAGCAGGTTCCGCACTGTCAGCACAGAGCCCAGTGCAGGGCTCGAACTCACGAAATCGTGAGATCATGACCTGAGCCGAAACCGAGAGTTGGACGCTTAGCCAGCTGAGCCACCGAGGTGCCCCGAAATTGACAAATTAAGGAGAGAAATTATCCTAAATCTGAAAGAGTTCTCAAAGCTGTCAGCCAAATCTGGAACTGTATAAATGAGTTTCCCACCTGTAAAAGTGCCAGTCGGTACCCTGAGAAGCTGAGTTGGTGCTTTCAGCTACATTACTGCTTTTCAGGTTTTCACCCCTTAATACTCTCCATGCTTTTTTACCGATATGACGTGTCCGTGGCTGCCAAAATCTTGATGAACTTCTTAGCCACATTTCACCTCAGCTGACCCTCTGAATTCGGGGGTCCCTGCTGCTCTTCTTCTCAGGGTTTTGTCATGAAGTATGAGTTTAGGAGTCCATATTTTAAATCACTTTCAGACTTGGAGACAAAGCTTCCATTGTAGTTGTGTTTGGCTCCAACTCAAGGTAATACTTCATACAGTCTGAACTATCACAAGGACTTATTCTCTTTGAAAAATAAATTCAAGATAAATTCAAAAACATTTGTAAAGCCCCTATACTTTGTCAGGTAGGTTTAACTGCCTTTCAACTTCATCCACTGCCTACAAGTGACACAAATGGAAAAGAAATAGGTTATGATGGGTCAAAAAATAGAAAATACAAATTCAAGAAAAATTAAAGTATGACAGCCACTACCTTGCGAATATTGTTTTAAATTTTACAGTGGAGTTCTTTCTGTACAGCAGTATGAGTAATGATCCCAGACGTCAAATAAATAACAGCCTCTGTCCGTGGTAGTAAATAACGCCTTGCTTATCAACTCTTGTGAATCCTGCTATGATAAATGAATACCTTGCCACGAACAAAGAAAGAGGCTTAAAAATAAGTGATATTTTGCTGACACTTTTTGAACAAGCCAAGGACACACTGATGCCAGAGGAAGGAGATTTGATACAAAAGGCTCTAGTGGAAATATTTATGACTTGTGGAAGTGAAAGTTAGCCCTGAAACAACCTTGGACATGCCGTTACCCATGGGGCTTTGACAAGTCTCCTGTCCTGAGTCTACTTATGTCATCCTACTATTGGAGACTGTGTGGCATTTTTGTCATCTCATATGGATTTACATTGACTTGACAAAATAAATTAGATCAAGTCCTCTGAGGCCAATACTTATTCTCTGTGTGTGATTATCAGAAATATATATGGAATTTGACTGAATACTTATTTCTAAAAACATGAGCACTTGTGGACATGCCATCCCACATTAGAAGGATACACACTGCACACACATACTTTTGTGTCTGAGTCTCTCTCTCTGTTTGTGCTGAGAGAAGTCTCTCTCTTCTTATAAGTAGAAGCATGCATATGATTATGTATGTTTTTATGTCTTTACATTTGTGCTTGGACATTTATATATCTCTCTATGTATCTATCCATACATGTTTTTGCATATTTATGGTGAGATCCCTATGGAAACAATAGGCAAAGGACTATATATTCATGTGAATGTAGTTGGTATGGCACAAAATATGCAAGGGATGTCGAGAATTGTTGAATTGGAATTAATTACTGTACAATGTAAATCTTAGGGGGACTTCCTTTTCAGATGGGGAATTGAGAAGACTGCTCTGATGCTGAAACCTGTCTGGGAATAAGTTCTGGGGCAACCCAGCCTTGGCCTCCAGATACCCCCAGTCGGGAGGGGGGAGAAGACCACCCCAGCCACAGATTCAAATGTAAAGAACCTCATGATCCGAAAGGAAGAAGCAGATGCTGGTTCTGCGTGGGGCACTGGTGGCAGCCGCCAGCCAGGGCTGGGTTCCGTGCGGCCGGTCCTCGGGGCAGGGGCAGAGTTCCCAGCACACATGCCGGAGCGGTCAGCGTGATGTATTTGGGTTCTGGGCTGTCACGTGTTGGCCAGACTGAGTGGTGTCTCAGTGGGTGCTGCCTCGCCTGGTCCTGCTTCTCGTCACACTCGGCAGCTGGTCCATCGCCATGTTTGTTCCAGTGGCTCCCAACCTCCTGTCGCACCTCGTGCCCGTGCCTGGTGCGTCTTCTAATGTGGGGCATGACAGACACTTGTGTCCTGCCTGAGATACTGCACAGTGTCCCACGCTACTGCTGGCTGAGGGATCCTGGCACTAATCACTACGTGCATTGTATGCATTTTGGTGATGAGACTCCTCATGGTGGTAAGAACCCTGAGTGTTGTGATTGATTTGACACGCACTCATTGAGTGTCTGTCATGTGGCAGGAACTGTTTTAGATCTGGTAATAGAGAGACGAACACAGTAAACAAGAAGCAGGCCCTCATTGTGTTCATATTGTTGGGTGGGAAAGAGATGAATGTCAAGTCTTCAACCAGACACACGAATGAATCAGTAATGAGTTTGCGGCTGAACTGGAGATAGGGCAGCAGATAGAGAACAACAGCAGAGGATTTCATTAAGGATGAGTTTCTCACCGCAGAGGAGGCAGCCCTGTGGTGAGGTCTGAAGGAAGAACATTCTGGAGAGAGAACAGCAGATGCAAGTCCTCCCGCCACCGGTGCCTTGAGGACACAGCCTTATCCTCAACTGAGATCGGAAGGAGCAGGGGTCCTAGCCTCTCAGGTCCTGGGAGAACTTCGGCTGCTTTCTAAGTGTGAGGGGACCTGGGAGCCACTAGAGGGCTCTCAGCAGGGGCGGCCTGGTCTGACTTCCGCCATGGAGTCACCACACGGGGCGCCAGGCCATGGTGGGGGCGGTGGGTAGCTCTGGCCGTGGTGTTGGCAGTTAAGACAGAGGCAGGAAGTGGCTCATGGTGAATTTTGCAGTTACAATCTGAGAGAACTAATGATTAATTGGACGTAGGAGGGAAAGGAACTCATCAAAATCTACACCTGTATTTTAGCCTCGATTAACTATGCGGATCACGATGAGATAGTGAAGTCTTGAGACACTGACCACCAGGGACCCAAACATACCGTCCAGGTTGAGTGAAAACCTTGCACCCAGAGGGTTTTTAGGGCAATGAGTCTACTGTGGAGGGTCCTGTATTGGCGGATACAAGACGTGGTATATTTGTCCAAACCCACAGAATGTATGACACCAAGAGGGACCCCGACGTAAACTGCGGAATCTGGGTGATGACGTGTCCATGTGGGCTCATCGGCTGTAACAAATGCACCATCTGGCGGGGATGCCGGCAGTGGGGGAGGCTGTGTAGGTGGGAGAGGTGGAAGTTTGAGGGAAGTCTCTGCACCTTTCATTCAGTTTAGCTGTGAAACTACAACAGGCTCTAAAAAGTAAACTCTATACAAAATAAAACAAAGCAAAACCAAACAACCAGTCCATCTGCCTTCACATGTTGCAGATTTAATTGGTAGGATTTAGGTGGTTCTTACGGTTTGGGTTGCGCGACAGGCAGGATCAGCTTGGCATTGGCAGGCAGGGGAAGTCATTTGTGTGTTACATTATCTGTGGTAGAATCAGACACACTTTTGATGGCTCACTTTAGTGGCAGTGTGAAAGGCTGTCTTCATTTGCGATGCTGTGACAAAGTCCTGCACGCTGGGGGTCTTACCAGCATCAGAAATGTGTTTTCCCACAGTTCCAGAGGCTGGGGGCCTTGGACCGGGTGCCAGCGAGGTCAGCTCCTGGTGAGGACCTCTTCCGGGCTGTCCTCAGGTGGAAGGAGGGAGGGGAGCCTGGGGGTCTCTTTGATAAGAGCACTGATCCCATCAGGGGGTCTCTACCCTCAGGACCTTATCACCTTCCACAGGGCTGGCCTCCTCATACCGTCACCTTGGGGCTAAGATTTTAACATGAATTGGGGCGGGGGGGACACAGACATTCAGTCCATTGCACATATGACCCAGCACCCCCACTTTTGAGTATATGCCCAGAACAAAAGCAAGGACTCAGACCCTGGTACACTGTGTCCGTGGCAGCGTTACTCACAGTAGCTAGAAGGTGGAAGCGACTCAGGCACCCGTGGACGGGTGAGTGGATAGACAAATAGTGGCCTGTCCCTACAGTAGAACAGTAATCAGCCTTAAACAGGAAGGAAACTCACCCACAGGCCACACGTGGAGTTGTGAAGACATGGTGCTCGGTGAGCTAAGCTGGGCGGCTAGGATCTCAGCGTGTGAATTCAGGGAGCACAGGTCCTCCGTGCCCGTGAGGAGCCCTGGAGAGCCACAGGAACAGCCCACCGGGAGCCTGGTGTGCTGGGCGACAGTGAGAACTCGGACGCTGGGACGTGGTGCTGTACGTGGCGGGTATGGTTGAATATGGGGGAAAGGCGGGTGCCAGGCTGCTCGGCCCGTCCTGTGGGAGGGAGGGGTCATCTCTGCTGGGACGGTGGGTCCCCGCTGCCGGTGCTGGGCCTGGGGTCTGCAGATCTGGGCCGTTAAGCCATGAATTTGGGGAGCTCCCCTAAGGAGGCCACGGAAGCTGAGGTACCTGTGAGCCGAGGGCAGGACCCTGGGGGCATTAGCTTTTAGGAGAGCCGTCCATTGCATTGGCTCTGATGTCGAAGTCACTGTTCTGGGGACAGGTCCCTGGAAACCAGAAGTTAGGTTCAACACAAGACTCCTTCCTGCCGTTGCGGGGACAGCCCCTGAATTAACGAGGGGACCGGCTTGTGCACGTTTTGTTGACGGCGAGAACAGAAACACCAAGAGACGTCACATTCAGCATTTGTGAGGACCATGGACGTATTTCAGGAGCAATTTCACACAATGAATTGATACAAATTGCTGGTCCTGTCCATTAACTTGCCTGTGTGACTGGCCACGACTTCATTTCTTCAGGCTTCCCTTTTCCTGATTGAATGAAAGAAATAATGCTGGTTATTTACATATGGTTGTCACGGGAGTTAATGAGACTGCAGTCATGAGGAGCTTTGAATTTCATAGATAAAAATGGCACAGAATGGAGTGACCCATCGATTATTCGCGGACGAGCCATTTACTTTACGGCTCAGTCATGGCCCCGGCGTGCCTCTGCTGGGCGGTGAGCTTGCATCCCAGTGAGTGCTGTCGGGGCCCAGTTTTGGCTCAGAAATCCCAATCGATTATTTAACTTTCCTGAGTCAAGCTTACTCTGAAGCTTACTCTGTTTTCCCCAGAAACACTCCAGAGTCAAAGATTACAGGGATATGACGGCTGGAAAGGGGAGGCCAAGACGTGCCCTCGCAGGTGAGGACCTCCCGTCGGTGCCGAGCACGGGCCACTCCCACAGATGTGGACGGCCCAGTGCCCCACATAGGCCGTTTCCTGTTCGGGCCACCACTGTGTCCTCAGGGAGAGGGTAAGGAGGGAGGGAGATGTCCTCAGGGACACGTGAGCACCCACATTAGCACTGACCTTGAAGCGGTGACTGTGTGTCTTATGACAGATGCTCAGTGGACAGAGGTCCGTGACCAGCAAACAGTGGCTTCCAGACATTCATCTGTGGACTTTACATTTTGTTCCCTGTGGCCTATTGCTTTATTAAAGCTACTTGATGTCTGTGTTTGCCTTTATATTTTTAAATTTTGTATAATAAAATCTCATAGGAATTCTGTTGACATGCAGTTATCTGATTGAGTGAATGGTCCACACTGCAGTCGTCACTTGGCAGTGAGGTGAACGTCCAGTCAGCCGGTGGCCCAACCACCTGGCTTCTCATGGGGTTTCTTCTCATGTTTCTCAAGTAGTGAAGAAGCCTACATACATTTTTCTACCGTTTTGCTGCTGTCCTGTATTCCTGCTGTGCACATTAAGACATGAGAGATAGCACATTCTGCTTAATGGAACATTTTGAAAATGGTTAGAAATAGAACTTGTGTAATTTCTTCCCCAGACACTTATGCAGACTCCTCTCCCGAGAGGGCCACACCGCACCCAGAGAACTGCTACCGACCCTTCAAAGCCCCGGTCACTCGTGCTGCGCCTCAGGTGCCCCATCGGCCGGGGCTACATGGGTGTCGCCACGTCTCTCTTCCCTCGGGCGCAGCCCCTCTCCTCACCGTCTGCCTGTGTGAGGCGATTCTTGTCTTTGCAGATTAATAATCAGGGAGAGTTCTTACTAAACTGCTAACGTTTGCTGACTGATCACCATGTGCTAGGTTTGGGGACAAGGCATCTCCGTGATAATCTCTACTTTTGGAACGCCCTGGGGGTAGAATCTACTACTCTCTCCTAGATCATGTGATCGCATCCTGTTTATTTTGAAATTGGAATGAGGACAAACTCAGATGATGGTCATATTAACAGCCATGGCCTGGGCAGTGTAGACAGCACTGGCCGTGGCCTGGGGGATGTGGGCGGCGCTGGCCGTGGGCTGGGCAGTGTGGACGGACAGGGGACAGCACGCCCAGGTTGGCAGCAGGGAGGTGGGCCGGGGCGGTAGACACAGAGGGTTCCCACGCTGGGCTGCTGGGCCCAACTGATTTGCTGCCCCTTACACACTCCCCCGCCTCCCTCGAGCTGGGGATGTTCTTACACACTCCCCCGCCTCCCTCCAGCTGGGGCCGCCCCTTATACACTCCCCCGCCTCCCTCCAGCTGGGGCCGCCCCTTACACACTCCCCCGCCTCCCTCCAGCTGGGGCTGTTCTTACACACTCCCCCACCTCCCTCCAGCTGGGGCCATTCCTTACACACTCCCCCGCCTCCCTCCTGCTGAGGCTGCAACTAACAGGGGCAAAGACCTCGCGGCTTACGTCTGAGTCTCCCGAGTCTCAAAGCTGCAGAAGGCCCCCCCGTGGCTCTCCTCCCTGAGAAATGCTGCATCGCACGGGCCACCAGAGGTGGAGGGTGAAGCCATCCTCTGGACGGGGGCGGGGAGCGAGTCAGACCCGGGGACCTCGCACGAGCAGGACAGCACTGTCACCACTAGCGCCCCCCAAATACACAAAGTGTGGAGACCCTCTGCAAAGATCACAAGAACAGGAACTCACCCATCCACACACTTAATGGGACAGGGACACGAACTCTATGATTTCACAGCTACGTGGTGATATGGCGGTGTAACAGCTCAAGTAACCTATTGTCAACCGAGGAATGGCGTAACTGGGTCATGATCACACAGCCCAGCCCATGCCCAGCACCACCCACACCACCCAGCCCACGACCAGCACCACCCACACCACCTAATCCACGGCCAGCTCTGTCCATACCACCCAGCCCATGGCCAGCACTGTCCACACTGCCCAGGCCACAACCAGCACTGTCTACACCGTCCAGCCCACGGCCAGAACCATCCACACCATCCAGCCCATGGCCAACGGGAGGGACCCTGGGTGTCACACTGAGTGGAAAGCTGCCTCTCTGAAAACATGTAGCAATTTAGAGTTACCTCCATACATGAAGTGCCTTACAGATTCCCACAGGAGACGTATCCATCCCCTCACTTCTGGAAGATTATGCCAAAGCAAGAGGGGATCAGGCTTTCATGGTTCTCGTTCTGGAGTTTGGGGAATAGGCTGCTGCTTACAGGCTGCGTCTGGTTCAGGTAGATTATGGGCCCATAAAACCATCAGGCGGATTTCTCTCTTATGTCAATTAGCATAAATTCTTGGAGGCTTCTCCTAATTTAAATGAGACTCTGTACTAATGATGATGAATTCACAGTGTATCAAGTTTAATTCCCTTCTACATTGTGCCCCTTTTTTTAACTGCTGTTCCTGAGGGAAGACAGGCTCCTTCCGCCCACACGGGGTAAATCCTTAGGTTCACCAAATCGCTCACCTTTCTGTGAAACTTCCCCAGCGCATTTCCGGCAGAAAAAATGGCTGTAACGCATATGTTCGCTGTGCTTCGCGTGATTTCTGGTAGAGCCCCCAGGGCTGGGCAGGCCTCTGTCCTCGGGTGCCTGGACAGTCAGCTCCCAGGACACTCAGGGAGGGGAGAGTCTGGTGCCGATGGTCAGGGACTTGGGGCAAAATGTCGTTATAATGAGGTCAACAGGCCACCGTTAACATGGGTCACTGGGCTCTGCCCACATCGCCATCTTGGAATATCTTCCCGATGGTGATGTCAGTGGCCTGCAGAAATTGGGGTGCACTGCTTCGACACAGCCCCTTCCACACACAGCCTGGCTGGTTCCCTCATGTGGAAACCTACGCTCGAGACTCAGGGTATGTGGAGTTCACGGGGCTCCCTGGGGCCGTCCTCATCAGTGTGGTGGTGGATCCCCCAAGGACGCACTTGCCGCAGACGACTGGAAAGCTTCGCCGCCGCCCCCCCCCCCCCCCGCTAACAATCCCTGCAGCTCAGGGTAGAAGGCTCATGACTGAGCTTTACAGGAAATAGAGTCAGAGTGTGCAACAGAGTGACAAGTTAGTCACGTTGTGTCCTGGGCTTAGAACACAGAGAATGAGGGTTTCTTATGATCTTGCTGGAAATAATTTTTTTAAGGATAGGGCCTAGATGCATTCATAATGAACTCCAAAATGCCATTTGCCTAAGCAGTGGACTCTGGAGAAGTTAATGTTGCCGGTGGTCAAAGACGCTTCCCCAGGCATCTGGGGATGTTTGATTTACAGAATTTAAATTCATCGGAGGCACCAGTTACTGTGTTCTCATCATTATTGTGTGGTCACTGCACCTTGAACTTGGTGGATTATTGTGAACAGCTGGCCCTGATGGGGATTGGCTGCAGTGAGCAAGCCTGTGTTCTGGCTCAGCTGTGGTGCGACTCAGGTTAGCACTTCAGGACAAGCGGAACGCCGGCGTCTGACGGACTCCCTACTGGAGCAGCCTGATGCTGGGTTCCGGCCCCTCGCGGGGGAGGGAGGGCGGTCTTGGCCGAGACTGGGCTGAGAGGTAAATCCGGTTCTCCTACGCAAGGGGCTCTGAGCTCACGGCTGCTCTTGGCCCCAGGCTGCCCCTGTCCCCTTCCCCAGCTCCTTGGTCTGTTGAGAGACCCGAGCAGTCACCTCTTTCTCCCCCGTGAACACACATGCCTCCCAGGGGCCCCAGGAGAAGTTCCGTTTCTGTCTATCCTGTCACCATGGGGAGATCCAGGGTTGGGGGTCACCAGGCTCCTGTGTCATCATGTGGCCCAAGACAGGTCCCTTACTGCAGGCAGCTCACCCACAGGGGCAGCAGCGAGGGGTCTCCTGCGTTTCCTTTTTTTTTTTTTTTAAATATTTTTATTTTATTTCTAGGATAGAGAGAGACAGCATGAACAGGGGAGGGTCAGAGAGAGAGGGAGACACAGACTCTGAAACAGGCTCCAGGCTCTGAGCTGTCAGCACAGAGCCCGACACGGGGCTCGAGCCCACGAACCGCGAGATCATGACCTAAGTGAAAGTCGGACGCTTAACCGAGTAAGCCACCCAGGCGCCCCTCTCCTGCGTTTCCTGAAGTGTGCTCAGCGTTGTAGCCACACCACGGAGAAGGCAGATAGCACGGGGGTGGGGGCCTGGCCTTTGAGATTTGAGTGACACTCCTGGGGTGTTGCTGGGCACCTGGTGAGAGGTGCCCACTTCCTGTTTCCTGTGGATCCCTGGGAAGGGATGCTGTGAATTCATTGCTCATCTCAGTGTCGATCGCCAGGGTCCTCTCTCGTGGCTTCAGGGGTGTGGCCTCGGAGCTGGGCCAGCCACCCGTCTCCCAACCCCAGGCCTCAGTCCCCGTATGTGTGCTGCCTAGACTTGGCTCTGGCGTGGCGTCCAAGGGAGCAAGGCCCCCGCACCCAGCCGCGGCCTCTCCCTTGAACACTCTGGCTCCCCATTTTCTGGACTCCCCCATTTGTGATGAAGAACGGTCCAGCTCTGGGGGGCTCCGCTTTGTGCATCAGCAGGGGGGTGTGCTGTGGGTCCTGCAGCCAGGGCACACACGGGTGTTGTGACCTTGTCTTCCTGGGAAGGGAGGGGACCGTGCAGAGATTTGCCACCCCTGATATGGAGGGCCCCATCTCCAAGCAGTCAGAGGAATTCAGAGTCAAGCTTATTTTAATTTTTTTTTAATGTTTGTTTATTTTTGAGAGAAAGACAGCACGAGCAAGGGAGGAGCAGAGAGAGGGAGACACAGAATCTGAAGCAGCTCCAGGCTCTGAGCTGTCAGCAGAGAGCTAGACGCGGGGCTCAGATTCACAGACTGTGAGCCCATGACCTGAGCTGAAGTCAGACGCTTAACCTACCGAGCCCCCCAGGTGCCCCAGAGTCAAGTTTATTTTAAAGGACAGTCTGACTCCTACACGCCCGTCAGCCCTGTCTCCCTCATCCACCGCCACCCAACCACACATGCACTTGCTGAAAAGGGCGCGAGCTCCGACACACCGGCTCCCTCACCTGTCCCCGCCCAGCCTGTCCTGGCCACCAAGGTGGTCCTGCCACAGACCGACGAACACACCACCACTGTCCACTTCGGAAACCATTCCAGGCTCCTAATTCTACATTCAAAACAAGACAAACCTCTTCGCTCCTTCTGTGACTTTCAGTTGCCTTCCCAAAGTGTCCGCAGCCTCTCCTCACCCCTTATCTGACACTGACGCCCGCCAGCCCTGCCCTGTCCTTCGGCCAAACTCGGCCCTTGTCGCGGCCGCCTGCCTCCTGCCAGCCCGTCCCCTGGCTCGGCGGCTCCTGTGCTGTCTTTCTCTCTACGAACATCCTGCTTGTCCTTGACGACTCAGCCCAGACGCTGTCTCTTCCGCGAGCCCTTTGCTGATCCTTGGGGCTGGCGCGTAAGGAGGCCACATTCCCCCGAGTGCCTGCCTGACGGGCTGCATGAATGCATTTGTCACTCAGCCCTCCGGTCCCTGCATGGAGGATACCGGTGCCCTCATTCTGGAGCCACGGGGCTGAGTCACCTGCTCCGTCATTCAGGAAGGTGGGCAGTGACCTGGCACTGAAGTCTGACTTCTTTCCTCCAAAAAACAAATACCTTGGAACCATTTGCACTTACATTTCCTGTGTCGCGTTCCTTACTGCAATTGCCCCACATGACCGTGACCGTGCCTGCCATGACCCCCACGCGACTTTGCTGTGCGTTGCAGAGCCTGATGCAGAGGCAAGCGGCGGACACTGGGTGACCGTAGGCCTAGTGTCTTTACTGAAATAGCATCATCCTTTAGCTCATCATTGTCTGTGCCTAGAAGCGGATATAACAGAGTTGTAATCAAAGTCAAGGTTTAGATGTTAAATTAGGTGATAAAGCATAACATTTATTTCAGCCGAGTGATTTGTGTTGAGTCATACACAGTCATGAAAACATGTTTAATGTGTGCATGTGCGTGTGACAAAGAGAGATCGGCATTTTACTAAAATGTAATATATGAAGTACTTGCTAAGGTAGTTTCTCGGAAATGGCGTTTGCTCAGGTGCAGGGGCCACCCTGTCTGTGAGGCAGGCAGATGCAGCTGGTCGGCGCCAGGCTCCCCAGGGGGCGGTTCTGACTTGCTCTGTCATTAAACCTGTGTCCGCGAGCTGGAGACCCCTTAGTAACGGCCTCTCTCTCTCTCTTCTGTTCGCAGAGTCCCAGTGCACCCTCTGCGGGGAGCCGGAAGGTGAGTGTGCTCGTGCTTACCACCTTGCCTCCCGTGGGCATGGCGGGCAACCCACGGTGGCTCGTGTGTTGTGTCGGACAGTGACACGGCGGTGAGGCTTGCCCAAGCGCGCGTTACAAATCGAAAGCGTTCTTCACGGTGTTTGATGGAAAATGGATAAAATCATCTGCGTGGTGTACGGGATGAAGGGAGAGGAGGTAATCTCTCCAGGAAAAGGGAATCACGGCCAAATTACAGCATCTTTCCTTTTTGTTTTGCATTTAGACATTTTCATCAGGTTCCTCCAGGTAATAAATGCCGACATTAGAAATACGTATTTCTTGGCTTTAACTGTATTAGCAAAAGTGCCGATGAGCCTCCTATGAAATAAGACCTCAGAAAACCATTCCATATTATTAATGACTAAACCTGAGACACACAGCGTAACTTTGCTGGCGATCAGTGATATTAAACAATGTACGATAATTTGAATTTTATGTGTCTAAGATACTTTTCGAAGTAGAGCTCCTGACTGTATGATTTAACTATCTTCCAAAATAGTTAAAGCCAAAATCTGTCATACTTCCCAGTGTCAGAATAAAAAATAAAGAAGATGTGGACAGCACGGGACCTCCATTGACGGGGGCTCTGACTTAATCAGGGTTTTGATTTTCGGGGTCAGAACTGCCTGCCTTGCGCACTGCGGAGCGATGGCCTCTGAAGTACGTCTACGACCCCAAAGTGATTCATAATCATTTTCACTGGGAAGATTTTTACCCACAAGTTGAAAAAAGAAAAGTGAATATTGGGTTAGCTTGGAAATTCCATCAAACACTGTTTCTACAGGTTTGTGGTTGAGATACGGCTCAGTGTTCAGAGTTCTGGGGTGCTGTTTACGGAATCTGTTACGCACAGATGCGGCCATGACAAAGCGCACTAACTTAAAGTGTGAACTCTTAAGTGTCACTGTTATATCGGACACGTGACTTTGGGCTCCTGGTGTTTCCAGGGTCACAGGAGAGTCAGGTGTCCGAGTCGGGTCACCAAGGCCTTCCGGAGGCGGCTGGCCCAGGACCGCTCTCCGTGGTGCTGAGGGTGTCGGGGTGTCGCGGCTGCAGACAGCGTTCTCCAGCGGGTCCGTGTCCTTCCGGCGTGGGCAGATTCAGTGCGGGACTCGATTCCTCTTCATCGTACACTTTGCGATGTCTCTCTCGCGCTGGGAATGTGTGTCAGGCGACTGCTCCCTGTGCGCTCCCTCTGCCCGCCCCCGACACACGCACTTGTTGCTGAACGTTTTCAGTGCGCTCTGTGCGCTGGAGAGACCCTGGGGTAGAAGACAGCTGTGCTTCGCGGCTTGTCCACGCCGCATCCCGCCTTCTCGTCTGCTTGGCCTGCTGGTGTCTGTGTCTGCGGTCCGTGTGCGTCCTGCGGCTTTCAGCTCTCTGCTGCTTCGCGCTGTCCTAAAGAGCAGATTTCAGTCGCCACAAGTCAGTACAGCTCACGTGGGAGGGTGTGGCTGAATCAAGGTGGTGTTACCTTGGGAGTCCTCGCTCAGAGGACTGTGTGTTCCCGTGGACACCCGGGTCGTGGGACCCCAGGCCTGACCACGCAGCGGCCTTCCGTGCTGCCGGGGTGCGGGGTCCTCCCCCTCGAGCATCCCGCCCTGCGTCCAGAGCCCCCGCCCACCCTGTCCCACAGCCCTGCATCTGCCGCCCTGGACAGACGTGCCCTCCGCAGTCTCCTGTCACCCCACACCCACATCACAGATGTTGCCCACCCACCCCCAAGGTGTGCCGGTGTCAGAGAAGAGGGAAGAGATGCGTGTGCCCTTAGTCTGGGGGCAGCTCCAGCTGCAGATGCTTCAAACAAGACCCGCTTTACCCAAAAAACAACCCCAGCTGTCCAGCCCCAGGAGACTGTGAGGGGCAGGGAGACTGAGGCTGAGCCTGCTGCCTGTCCCCTTCTCCTGCAATTCCAGTCTCTGCAGCCCGTCAGCCTTTCAGATATGCAAGCACAGTATCTGTAGATCAGAGAAAGAGAGGGACGGTTTGACGGCATGGTCTCAGCTGGGCTTTACTTTTTGAAAGGCACTATCATGCATATTCATACATTTTTAAATCATTTAAGTAATTAGTCTAAGTAAGAGCTGCCTGAGTGCAGTGAGTGGAATCTGAAATCAGTTTTTTTGTTCAGTAATTTCTTGCAGCTTCTATCAGTTAACTCATAAAGGCCGCTGCTCGGAAAGGATTAGAGCCGGAGGCTGGTGCGGGATCGCAGAGTCAGATCCGGTGCACTGTGCTCTCCTTCCATCCACAAGGTTAAGGCATCAACTCATTAAGCTCCTCTCTTTCTTGTCAGAAAGCTGTTAACAGTCTTTCTCTGCTAAACCAGTGAAGTGGGAAACACCTATTTGCATTTTAATGATTAGTTCTCTAGGAGGGAGCTCTTCCTCAGGATTCAGATCGAATAATTAGCATTGTCTCAGATGGTAATATCTGTCAAGCCCCGAGACTGGGAACAAAGTTTGCGGGTGCTGGAGACCTCACGAAGCCACCGTTGGCGACGCCTGTTTTTCAGAGAACATGCGTTTGTAATCGTACGTAAAATGTGAGCCACGATTTCCGCCCGCAGGTTTGCTTATCCTTTCTCGCTTGGAAGGCTTCTGAAATGTGGATGACTGTGTTCTTAACAGGAAAATATTTAATGGAATTTCTTGTGACCTGTGGGTGTCCTGTTCCTACCAAGAACATACAGACAGTTCAGGTCTGAAAGCGCGGAGGCGGGGCTGCAAGAAGGTGGGGGGCACGCGACTTGGCGGCCACCGGCGGGAGACGGGGACACAGTGCTTCGCACACAGAGACCAATGAACAAACACGACAATGTTTAAAATCTACTGCAGTCGTTCTTGTCATCACAGTTTTCGATGGTCCCTGAGTACTGAGCCCAACTCCGAGTGGCTCCCGCTGCCTTTCAGGCCCGGGAGAGACTGTGTGCTCTGGCTTCGCGACCCTGCGAGCCTGTCGGAGGGTTTCGTGTGGTAGAACCCGTCAGTTTGACGCAGGAAAATAATTTAAGAGTATATGATCCTTTTCGGACTTTACTGACAGACACATGAGAGCACTTTTTAGCTGTACCACGGGGACGTCACATGGGACCACGGACGTCGGTTCGTGGACCCCGTTTGTTTACTTTGCTATGGTGCAGTTTGCCCTCGTAGCAAATAGATTTTCTGAAATGGGAAGACAGATAATGGTGCCTGCAAGGATTTAGGAAGACTGATTTGAGATCCGGGCAATGGACTAACGATTCCTTACATCTATGTTATTTAACCCAATTACAACTAAGGAATAAAGTGAGCTACTTTAATATAAATTTGGGGCAAAGGGATAATGTCACAAAAACGTTAGGATGGGTTTTAGCATGAAAGACCTTTAGTGATACTTGTCCTAAGATCCAAAGAAGTAGACCGTTTATGGAGGTGTCAATATTTATAGTGGATTATTTGCAAAATGTTATTTGTAGAAATTCTGGTCCCAGAGCAAACTTCAAGTTCCGGGGGAAAAAAAAAACCCTCACAAAATATAAGAGACTTTGTTTTAAAATCTGTCTTGTTTTCTACTTTGATCATTTCAGGGCACAAATTGCATACTGCTTTTAGAATTTTGGACAGACATACAGACTTTTATATTTCATTCCTTTTTTTTTTTTTTTTAATATTTTTTATTTATTTCTAGGAGAGAGAGAGAGACAGCGTGAGCAGGGGAGGGTCAGAGAGAGAGGGAGACACAGACTCTGAAACAGGCTCCAGGCTCTGAGCTGGCAGTCAGCACAGAGCCTGACGCGGGGCTTGAACCCACAAACCGCGAGATCATGACCTAAGCGAAAGTCAGACACTTAACCGACTAAGCCACCCAGGCGCCCCTATATTTCATTCCTAATAGAAGGAAGCTGATGAGGTTTTGGGGTGATGGTGGGGTGGTGGGGTCCAGAGCTGACGGCCAAGAAAAAATTCTTGAAGACATCTTTGATGCAAAAAGGTGATTTTCTTAAAACTTGGGGACAGGGCCTGTGGACTGGAAGAGTTACCCAGGGACCTTGAGGAGCTACGACTGGTTAAGCCCTGCAGAGGTGGGGAGGCCAAGTCCTGGGGCATTTCCAGTGAGACTTTCATATGCTAAAGACAACTCCCAGGATCCTGGAGGCCTGGCTTTTGTCAAGCTAAGGCTGTTTGCCCTCCAGCAAAGCTTTAAGAGGGTAGGGAGGGGCTGGGGACAGGTTTTCTCTGCAGCCTCAAGTATGTGCCTTGGGCTGTAGGTTAAAAGGGAATTGAGTTCTATCTGCTGTTTTCTTCTGCCTTTGTTCCCACAGGACTAGAGGGTGATGGTGGCCTAGGCTATTGATAAGATTGCCTTTTTCTTGTGATTCACTAAGATATTTGTAAACTGATAGAGACCCCTGTCCTACATGACTGTGATTTCTGTCAGTTAACCCTGTTCTTTCTTTTCTTTCCTTTGTCCTTTGTCCTTGGGCAGCCAGGAGCGCCCGAGAAATGTCCCACATGTCCCCATGGAAGAGCGGGTAACCTGTGCCTTGTCCTCAGCCCGCCCCTCGTCAGAACCCAAGCTCCCTCTTCTCTTCCTCACACGAGAGTAAGAGAAAGTGGAAAGTGTTTCCTGGATTTACGGGCATTCTCTTCTTGATTTTTTAATACAAGTATTGAAGATTTGCTTCACAAATGTCTCCAAATATTATAAACTTGCCATTCTGTTTTTGTGTCCTAGTGAGTAGGTGTCATCCTGAGATTTTAGGGTCTCTCAAAAATTGGAGAAAACTAGTGAGGCTGCTTTGCAAGGCCTGGACTTCCTGGGTTTGAAAAGAAGCGTTTTGGCCCCACCCCTGCGCCCGCGGAAGCGGAAGCCAGTGAGTCAGCGCCTCCTCACCTCTAGCTGCTGCCCCGTCTTGTTTACAGATCAGACCTCGTTAATTGTATGCTTTGGGTAAAAAAGGTCTTTTCTGATTGCTATTCTTGGAGGTTTGTGGAAGATAACCAGCATTTAGTAGGTTCTCAACGTGTGCCAGGCACTCGAGAAAAATTAGCGTTGCTTAGGAACTGAAGAATTCAGCTGGTTTTTGAGAGCAAACAGAATTCCATTCCAGCCGATCTGTGTTCCGGGACCTTCGAGTGGTTAGTGTTTTAGTACGAATCAGAACACGCTGAGGAGGGTACAGGAAGGAATAGCGTTAGTCTGGAAGGGCCAGGGTGGAGGGCGCTGGGGAGCCTGGAGGCGTGGCTGGGCCGGAGATCTTCTCCCCTCGTCCTGCACACACAGAGCCGCGGTGCAACGAGCCACAGCTGCCTGCGCGGGAGACAGGCCACGCTCCGGGGTCCCAGATAAGAAACAGTTTTAAGCCAGGAGACAGGCAAGACTCCACGCCGCAATAGCCCCTGAGAAATGAAGGGGGCGCGGGGATGGGGTGGGGGCCAGGCAGGTGTGGGTGCAGGCGCTGGGACCCTGTCCGCGAGCGAAGCCGCACACTCTCAGCAGGTTTCCCCGTGTGTGCGAGCAGAGGAGACCACACAGACCAGGCGGGCACAGAGCAAGCCCACCACAGCTCCAGGGCCACGGGAAGAGGAGGAAGTTACCAGCAAGAAATGCACGCTGCAGGCGTGGACGTGAGACCTGAGCTCCGCGTGCCTGTGTGCCACGGAAGGCCACGTGGTGAAACAGATGTGAACACCGTTCCCAAAGCAGTTAGGGTTCTGTCAGGACCTGAGAGCCGTGGCGGGATCAAAATCACAGATTATGGAATCTTTGACAATGGGGGACTCCTCCTTTCCTTACACACACCCACACCCTCACACACACACACTTTAGATAAACAAACATATAAAAAAAGGACTTTAACCCTTGTAACAAAACCTCGGGGGGGTGGGGACATGGGCTGGAGGGTGGGCTTGCACAGACACCGGCTGTGTTTAAATTCCTAACCAGGTTTCGAAAAGGAACAGAAGCCCTGATAAAATAACTACCGAGTATGACACAACCACGATGAAAGAACAAACAGCATTTCTAAAAACGAGAAATGTCATTAAAATTCACTGCTGTGTCGATCTGTTGTAAAGCAGATTAGACAGAGCTGAACAGAGAATGAGCAAACCAGAAAACAGAGGGAAGAGCATTACCCAGAGTTTCACATAAAAACGTAAAGGCTGAGACGAGACAAGATGGACGATGCCTGAGAAACCAAACACATGTCTGCAGTTAAATGAGAAATTAAAGAATGAAGAGGACAGGTCAGGCACTGCTCGTAAGTAAAGGCTGAGACGTTTTGTAGGACTGAAGATATTTGCTGTGCATTTGTGATCTGAAGACTCCCAATGCTGAACCCGGTAATAACAACGCATCCACATCCAGGGAAGTGAAGCTCTGGAGTACAAAAGACGAATAATGTTGAATATCCGCAGAGAGAATGTACGGATGATTTACAGTGCAGAGGCTCCCGGGAGGCCTCTCCTCATCAACACTGATGCTGGACGCCTTTGGGATGATATCTGAAAGTTGCTGAGAAAATAAATGAGAGTAAAAAAACACCACACACTCAATGTAAAGTGGAATCAAAGAGGAGGGAAGAGACACAGAAGGAAAAAGGCCCAGATACCACAAAATACAAGATGGATATGACTCAGGATTTCCATAGATAAAGTCACTACTTACTGATAAAAGGATACTTAATGTGGGGCACCTGGGTAGCTCAGTCCGCTAAGCGTCTGACTGGCTCAGGTCGTGATCTCCTGGTTCATGAGTTCAAGCCCCACGTCGGGCTCTGTGCTGACGACTCAGAGCCTGGAGCTGCTTCAGATTCCGTCTCCCTCTCTCTCTCGGCTCCCTCTACTGTTCATACTCTGTCCCTTTCTCTCTTTCAGAAATGAATAAAGAACTTAAAAAATTAAAAATAAAAGATACTGCAAGAAGTTCAATTATCTGCTTTAGAATAGATTCAAAATCTGGAAAGCAAAAAAAATGACATACATTGGGGATTTCCAGGAGAAAGTGACCAACCCGAAACCCCAGAAGGAGAGCCCTTGTCTCCGTGGACAGGGCGCGGTCACCCGGGCGGGCGCAGAGGATCCCTCGGAGGCGTCTGTGGCCCAGGTGCCCTGACTGGGGGCACCGCCTACTGCCAGCCGAGCGCTTCCTGCCACGGTCAGGAAGTTTACCTTTTTGCTCAGCCACAGTTCTCCTGTGCTTGTGACTTTTCCAGCAGGTGCTTATGCGAACAGCGTGCTTTTACTGGGAGTGTTTGCAGAAATGTAGGAACCTTTGGGTTTCTAGATAGACACAGATTCACTTGGAGCACGTTCTCTTGGTGGGGTCAGTGTGAAGGGGACAGCTGCTGTCCCCTCACTGGGTCCCCAAGCGCTCAGGGGACCCGGCCTCCTCACTCAGGGTTTACAGCCAGCTGTGAACATCTGCTCCGAAAGCACATGTCAGATTGTACTGTTTCCTGCTTCAGATGCTGTCAGAACCCCTCATCGTCCACCGCACAAACGCCACATGCAGTCTTCCAAAAATGCCACAATTTGCCTTTCCACCCGTGTTTTTGGGTCCTTGCCTGAGGACGGACATACGGCTCTTTGAGTTCACTCTGGATGACTGCAGTGCAGTGGTCAGAGGAAGGAGAGTAGTGTGTGGGGACCATGTGCGTGTGCGTCTGTGTGCACACACGTGTGTCTGTGAATATATGTGTGTGCATGTGTGTACATGTGTCTATGTGTGTGCATGTCTGTGTCTGTATATGCATATGTGTCTGTGTGCACATGTGAATGTGTATCTGTGTGTACTTGTGTGCATGTGTTTGTCCGTGTACGTGTGCATTTGTGTATATGTCTGTGTGTCTATGTGTCCATGTGTGTCTGTATCTGTGTATGTCTGTGCGTGCATCTTTGTATATGTATATGCATGCATGTACTATGTGCCTGTGTGTCTGTACATGCATAGAGCACGTGTGTGTTGTGTGTATCTGTGCGTGTACGTGTGTGCCTATATATCCATGTGTGCATGTGTGTGCGTGCATGTGTGAGGCGAACGTAGAGAAGGGACATGAGAAGTGGCTTACGTTTGTTATCTCAGCAGAGGGTAGGGTTTGTGCGGATGGAGGGAGAGGGGACGTGTGATATTTTTTATAAAAGATAGAGAAGCCTAGGAATGGACCTGAAGGGTCAGCGCCGGCACCACCTGCGATGACCCTCGCGTCCCTCCCGTCAGAGACCCTCTGTCGTGCTTTGTCTTATGCTCCGTGCAAGGTTCCTTCTCCGCGGATGCCTGTCAGAGCCTGACGTGCCTCGGGCCCGCAGCGGGGCACCTTGAGCAGCAGAGCCATGTCGTTCTCGTCTCCACAGCCGGGGGGACACTTCCCAGTTGTGTGTTTCTGAGCCAAATGCATAAAACTGACCGTTCCGATAACTGGTCTCATTACCAACAGGGGCAGTTTTGTCAGCCGTACTTAGAATCAGAGTGGAAGCCACAGCTACTAAATATGATAAAATAGAGCGAACGTGGGGATGAGTTGCATAGACCATCTGGTGTCTGAGACTCGGTCACAATTATGCATTTATGCAGAATGATATAAAATGCACAAATGAACCCTAATTTGCACATTTCTATTTTTTAGATTATTCAATATCTGAGATTCAGGCATTCAGCTGGCACTGACGCAATTTTACCTCATTAATGTACTCAAAGAATAAGCAAATGCTCTACTTTTATGGTCACCGAGCAACTTAAATATCAGGTTTCAGATTTAGTATGTTTGGGTAAAGTACTATTTTCTTGTTGCTAAACTCATGAGTATTTGCTGCATGTTGAAGCTTATTCGGGAGGAGAAAGTACAGACGGAATGTGTGCAGCCGGATGTGGGGGCGAGCGACTGGAGCCCTGCACCGGTGAGGCGCCCCCGCCGGAGGAGGGCTAGCCCGAGGACAGGGCCCGCTGTCCGTCTTCCACGTCAGGGTGCTGCCTGTTTGAAAGCAAGAGTTTGTTGTAAAATTCGAGCGTCGTCCATGCTGTCTCGTGATGTGGGTGTGGAATACCCCACACGCGGTGTCTGGGGTCGGTCTGCGTGGAGTCCCGTGTCCCCGGGAGAGCCCCCGTGGTCCCGAAGCTCCAGGAACGCAGGGGAGCTGAGTGCTTCCCGTTCCTCACAGTGACGCGTCCACGCAGCGCTTAAATAATCCCAGCGTAGTTCTCGTTTTCCTCTGGTTGCTAACCGCGTGCTTTGGGCCAGCCCCTGGCAAGCGTGGCGGGGAGGCTTTGGGGAGCTCGTTCCGTGTTGGCGGGTCCCACCACGCCTCAGGGGCGAGCGAGCGTCTACCTGCCTTGCGCCTGCAGGCTGAGTGAGCTTCGTGGCACAGTCGGTGCCCAGCGCCGACAGCCCATGTAGACGCGCCCTCCCACAGCACGGCCGTGCCATCGGCCTGAGAGGGGTTCTGACCTTCCATACAACCAGGGCTCAATTTCTGGGGCCTCCGACTTGCTTCCTCCTGGGAAGGCCATCGGCTGTCTGTCTGTCACAGCCTCTCCCAGAGGAGGGGACGTGAGCCCAGGGTCGGGCCAGCGGCCTCTCTTGCACACACCTGTGTTCTAGCTCATACACCTGGCTGGGCTTTCAATATTATGCATCTTTTTAAGTGTCTGATGGAAAGGAGAAGCCGTTTGCTCTGAAAGCCCCTGTTAGGATGAGCAATACGTATTCCTAATTTCGCTCTCCTCTGTTGCATCTTGTCAGCAACGCATGAACCTCAGCTGCCCGAGGACTTTGCAGCATCAGCCTCCGTGCTCCGGCCACGGAGGCGAATGTCCGACACGGAGTTAGTGTGCGTCCCCACCAGCCTGGATCCCATGGCCCCGGGCTCGCTGTGGGTCTGGAAGTCAGCCCTGTGCTTCCGGGGCCCACAGACGTGGGCACCGTGATCGCCCAGGACGAGGTGGCCGTGGCAGAGCCGGCAGTGGTCTGGGAAGCACAAAGGCGAGCTGGGTCTAGGACCCTTTTGTCTAAATAGAAA